GCCTGGTCTATGAGAAAGATCCAAGACAGGTAAACTACCACTGGTAAGCATTGAGACAACCAGATAGAACGGTTAACAGTTTTTAGTCCATTTCCCACTCTTTTATGCGCATTTGGAGTATACGGCTAGACCTATATTTTAAAGTGAGTGATGTGGTCAGCGTGAAGCCGGTGGCTTTTACTTCCCAGGACTGCACTGGTACCCATTCAAGGCTGGGTCTACCTGGGAGTCATTCATTTTAAAAAAAAATGTCCGGCTCCGTCAGAACGTAAACCCACGACCTTTAATCGGCAGGCGGGCGTCTAGCCGCCAACGTTAAGGGAACTCCCTTTACTTTACTAGTTCGTTTGTTTATTCTTTCTTTATTTTATGTTATCATTATGTATTCATGTCATTCTTTCTATTTGTCCTTCATTCTTTTATTATTTTGTGTTTGTCCTATCTGGTTTTTGCGTCTTCTATTCCTTATTTCTGATTTTTTTTCTTTTCCTTCTTACGTTTTTTTTTGTGTGTCTTTCTTCCACCCCCTTCCTGCGCCACCCCTGCTCTGTGAACTTCATTGTGGATAAGAACAAAAGTATTAATTGCGCTTAATTATACTTAACGCACAATTTAATTGGCACAACTAGCGAAATCACTAAAATGCTAAAGTAACAAATCAACAGGAGACAACTCCAGACATTTTAATCCAGCCCAAAGCCTTTTATACTTTCAATAAGCAAAACTACTTCGCACCTGCGCATTAAACGTGTTATTTGTCGTAATATTTACTATCGTAAATACCCTTATTTATGAAAATTCAGAATACAAACAAACAAAAGGATTAAGAGTATCTCTCTTCTAGAACAAGTACAATATATATTGGGCTAGTTTACAGTATTTATTAAAGCTGACGAGTCTCTGCGTCTGTTGTTTTAAGTAAGTTTGTAACATCCGGTAAAAGACGCTGGCATCGGATAGAACATAGGCTAAAAAAACCTAAGAACAATATAAATAGCATGCCTTTGCGCTGGGACCCACGGGAGCATAGAAATGAAGAAAGACCCACACAAACAAAAAGAGAAGGAAACTAGAGAGTAAAGTTTAAAAAGATGGGTAGGACATTAAGGAAGCTGCATGTTATAGCAATGGGTAGAAGGATAGAACGACCTGGTGTGAGCTGACTGAGGGCGTATGCTCTAGTAGAGGTTAGAAAGGCAGAAGAAGAAGATATCATCCGGTGCACCTATTAGCAAATAGTTAGCATAGTCCCGTTACCTTAATACTGAAATTACTCCCTATCCTTCCCCCCCCCCCACCCCACCCCCACCCAAAAGATCTTCAGGTTGCTTCGTAAACATAAAGTTATCTAATATATTTGTGTTGTTTGGTTGAACTGGGTTTCTGGGATTTGCCCCTGATACAGTGAATAATATAGCATGTATACATATGTGTGTTGCCCGGCTCGCTAGCGTATTTGGTTAAACCTGACTTTGCGGCCACCGGGTAACAAACTCCTTGTGGTCCGGGTTCATACACAAAGGTAGACAGAAAAGCCAATTTTCTCGCAGAATTACGGTATCTATTATGGCATCAAAACCAAAGGTTTGAGATATCCATAGTACCTAGCCAAATGGTTTCTGAATTTAAAAGAAAATACTTATGTGTTTGTGTGTGCATCTGTGTTTATACAGTGTCATATATGGGTATAAACTAACTCGGCTACACCTGAGGGCCTGACAATCTGCAGGAGCCTCAAAAACATGTAACGCAGCAGTCTTTTGATGACAGAATCAGTGGTTTAGCATTTTAGAAAAATCAGAGCTTTTTAGAAGATTATGTCTCGTAATTTATGTAACTGTAAAGGTAAAGATGAAGATGAAGATGAGAGGACATGTGAAGGTGAGAGGATATCTGAAGGTGTGAGGATCGACTGCATTGCAGCGGGTTTTATCCCATAGGGCTCAGTTTCTTTTCGCAGAACAGCTAGCTTCCTGCCGAAAGTGTCGCACATAGCACGACCTCCGTAGCTCCGGCGACAATTCCTAAGGATCGCATTGAAATTTGCACTCGTAAACTGAACGTACCATAGTGGAACGAACCCACGACCCCCAGAGCGCGTGGCAAACGGCTTGACCACTTCGCCACGGAGAACCCTTTTTCTGTCACGGTGCAAATACATTTTTTATTGTGTCTTTTAGTTAAAATAAAAACTAAACGGTATAATTTCATTATTTATAGATTTATATAGTGAAAATTTTTACAGAGATTAGCTTGTGTAATTTAAATCCGTAGGAACCTCGAGGCTGTATAGCTTGGGGCCTCACCAAGTCTAAATTGGACCCTGTGTACGTGTGTGAGTAAGTGACGTTCAATCCCCACCAGAACCGAACAACTAGCCACTTACACCCAGTGACACAATGTGCCATCATTCGGATACGAATCTCCTAAGCGCAAGCACAGAAATCCCCTTACACCGTTATATTATATTAGGGACCCCGATGACAGTCGGAGTGGGGCTTTCAAATAAACAAAGTGTCCTGCATTGGGACGGATCCGTGCTGTTAAGCATGTTATCACACGTATGTTTTGTTTTTTCCAGGTTTACAAGACCTGCATACAAAAACACAATTTTGGAAAAGAAAACAAAAGAGAGTAACTATACTTTTCTGTAACAACATTTTGATCAATAAAATACGCCTTACATTGAACTTGTATCTCTTTACTTATTTTGTACCGTTAGCGTGTGTTTGCGTACAAACCAGAAAAGAAAGTTACTAACCTTAAAAATTAGATATCAGAGAAGGGTTGCGGGAGTGATGTAAGGAGATAAAATGAGACATGAGCAAAAGCGGGCACAGAACCAATTGTAAATTACACACAAACAACAGCAAATCAAATGTGTGCACACATTCAGCAAGTCACGTTTCGCCAAAAAAAAAAAAAAACGCATTCACTTCGATCCCTGGTCATGCTGGTGTGAAAGGCAAGGAGAGAGCAGACGCCTTGGCTGGCAGTGCGACTATTAGAAATGGCCCATCTATGGGCTGGAGAGACATCATCATTGCCATCCGAGAGACTAAAAGCTGTGAAGCTTTCAATTTCGTAGACAAATGATTTTTCACTGAATAGACTGCATTCGCTTGGTGTATCAATTGCAGTAGCAGTAGCGTGACAGGAAAACTATGCGGAAGCCAAACGTCGTTACATCAACCAGAACAGAATGGGAGTTGTTAGCCTGAAAACACTTGGAGACAGACTCAGGAGGAGATCGGAGCACTTATGGTCATGTCTGATGTGCGATAAAGATGATCTTCAAATGAACAATGAAGAATGAGAGAGAGAGAGAGAGAGAGAGAGAGAGAGAGAGAGAGAGAGAGAGAGAGAGAGAGAGAGAGAGAGAGATTGTTTGTGACGCTATACCATACTAGGCATAAATTGAAATAGGAGAAAGATGTAGACCACGAGGTAGACCAAAACAAGATGGAAAGATCAGAGACACTATACAATAACACAACATGACTATGGACAAGGCTGCCAGGAGAGCATGAAGCAGAACCTTAAATTTCCCTTGAGACCTGAAGAAGTAAGAAAAAAAAAGTAAAGAGTAATTGTGTTGTACTGTTCTCTGATCGTTTCGCTAGAATGGCGTTACTTCTTTGGTCACATAGACAGACGTTATACATGTGAATAAAAGTAAAGTAAAGGACCCTTTCCCACGCCTTCAAACGTATTGGGCATATAGGGCTAGGGCTATATTTTATAGACCAATCAGCCCTTGGTCGGTGATGCGGTAAAGCACGCCGACAGCCTTTACTTCCGAGGAATGCACCTGATATTCACTCAAGGGTGGGTCGATCTGGGAGTCAAGGTCATTTTTGAAAACAAGGACCCGAGCCCACGACCTTCTGATCTACAGGCGAGCATCTAGCCTCTATACCACAGCGACTCCCTCTTTCATATGACTGTCTGACCGAAAGAGTTTAATTTAGGCTGGATGACAGAGGTTTAGCATAATGGTTTCCAAGTGGTGGTCACAGAAAAAATGTGGGTCGGTGATATCATTGAACAACACACACACACACACACACACACACACACACACAAATGCAGACTCATGAACGCAAGAATCTTCCCTTGTTGTCTACCTCTATCCCTCCTTCCACAGATCTTTCCAGTGGTAACAACATGTACCAATGTCCCTCCCTCTTCTCATAACATGGACGTAACATGATGACTGTCTTCTTCTGATGTCTGTGACAAGCTGTCTTTCGACTCCCGCCTTTTTCAAAACCCCTCGGTTGCTCTTTTTGGCTGACCAAGGTATTTTAAGCATTCCTCGGTGAAACCACATCTCTGAGGCCTCAAGAAATTGGTTGGCCTGCCTACTGATTGTCCTGGACTCACCGCCATTTCTTATAAGTGGATGTATGTGGCAAGCAAGAATTCTTTTTCTAACCTTTTTTTTTTTTATATATAAAGTTTTGTGACTCTAATATATATAAATAATAGGTTCTTCAAAATGACTATTAAAATATGTGGAGTCCGTGGTGGACATTTAGAAATAAGAGGGGTCTCTAGGACTTAGCTATTGCTCTGTCAACTACACTTCTTTACAATGGAAGTTAGCCCTCGTAAAACATATCGTCTTAAATGGCAAAGTCAGACTTCATAACCAAAGTTTCTTCACGATCGATCGATCACTTTGTCCTCTCCAGGATGCTACCTTACGGCTTACCATACCACCCTGCGATTGAGAAATTTCAATCTGGATGTCAGACCCAACAAGGTAGATCATCAAGAAACTCCACAACAGCACAACGTGTGGAATGTCCAGGAGGCCCTGCTTAATCTCTAACACAGGTGGAATTTAGTGCACCCGTAACGATCACACCAGCCAGGTGTAGTCTGCAGTCCTCCTGTGTGGGGAAGGCTGTGAGTTGTCCACGAGAACGGTTAGTAGAGGTATCATAGGGTAGCTGCTGCATTGAGAGGACAGAGCATACAAAGGAATGTACAGT